ATTTATTATATTATTACATTATTATATTATTATATTATTACATTTATTATATTATTATATTATATATTTATTATATTATATTTACAGTTTCTCTGACACTGAAACTGCTTTGTAATGTCGGCTGGATCAATACTGATCTGATTTATTAATGATTTATTTATTACAGGGACGGGTAGATCCGATCACATCGATCGATCATACAAACACACAACTCAGTAATCATACAGTATAAATATAATATCACATATTCAGATCTGTTTCAACTTAAAGGAATAAAATAACAGTTTAAATCATATCAAGAGTGAAAACAGAGAAAATGAGATTGGATGTAATTTTCATTAAAACAACAAATAAACAAACAAATAAACAAATAAAGAAGATGTGTTGGCTCATATAATGAATATAAAGAGAGGTTTTACCTGGAACTGAACTCTGAGCGATGATCACCTCGCTGGGTAAAACCAGACTGGACAACTTCTGAACCTCTGAACACAAAGAACAGACAAATACACTTATTGATTATTATTCTTTAATATTACCGATCAATGAAATATATCTGCAGATTGAACTTTATTATAAAACAGAGTTTCACAGTTAAAGTTAAACTCTCTTTATAAAAACTTCATTCTTGAACAATTTGTGAATTTCACAAAATTAAAGTTTCTCTAAAGGAGAGAAGTTAAATATATTTATTTTAAAGGTTAAAAAGAGTTTAAATAAAACATTTAATAAAGACTTTTAATTATAAGAATGAAGTTGAGGGTGTAAAGCTGAAGTTTCCCATAAACAGTGAAAGCAGCAGCAGAAGAAAGGAGGTTAAATGATCTTTTATCTCCTTCAGCAACCGCATTACGTCTCTACAGACCCGCACAGACCTGCACAGACCCCCTCAGACCCGCACAGACCCGCACAGCAGAAATCTTAATTCATGGCTTTTTGTAGAAAAGAAAACTCAAACTGAGAGAGACACAATAAATGAAATGAGGAGAAAAGAAAAAGAGAGAAATGTCTCAGCCGGTTTCACGCTCCGAAAGGGGATCAGGACTGGGATCAGGACTGGGATCAGGACTGGGATCAGGACTGGGCGTGAAACCGGCTGAGACATTGAGGAGCAGAAAGGATAATCCCGGTACCGGCGGGGAGAAACACATCAGAAATAATCCGGTAGGAAAGGAACCGGAGGGTTTCAGTACCGGATCCAGACTCTCCCGGATCCGCTGAAATTGTTCCGAACGAATTCTACCAGAAACGGAAACGAATTTCACAATAAAATGAAATTAAAATTAGAAAACTGCCACAATAAAAGAGAGAAAAAGGCCGCGAGCGGAGCGGGAGTTTTTTTATTTTTAGCCTCAAACAGAAAATATATTAGTGATTGATTACCGATCAATAGGAATTATTAACGATCAACAGACGGATGGTTCAGTAACTGATTGATTCATTATCAGAGTTTCAGACTGAATCTGATCACATCCGGATATCACGGCTTCAAACTGTTCGATCAGTTATTGATCAGGTTATTTATCAGACTAATTAATGAACTTCAAACGAGCTGCAGATTAATTTTACACCTGAATTAATTAATGCTCATTAATTATTATTAATTAGTTTTATGTTCCATTCTGAACTGAAGGAGTGAATGTGGATTAATGAACCGGACCGAACCGGACCGAACCTCTGGTATCTTCAGTAAGGAGAATTATTAATAATGTTTAATTCATGTTCATCACTAATTAATAAACATTTATAACGCATCCGGTCACAGTGACTCAATAATAATAATACATCAATAATCATATTCCCGTTAATATCCATATATTAATAATAGTTAATAATTGTCTGAATGTTAATTCATCTGAAATGTAGCGAATTAAAAGTTTAAAGTTTTATAAAATGTAAACATCCGGTGAGTGAAAGACTTTTAATTTGAAGATAAATTGATAGTTGATCAGCTTTTCGCCTTTATCGATGGCTCGAGCTGAGCGGAAGTGAAGCTCTCATTAATGAGTTAATTGGTTAATTGGATGTCGTCACTGACCTCCGGAGAAGGACTGCGCGAGCACCTCGGCGGTGAACGCGGTCTTGGGGCTCGCGCTCGGGCCGGTGCGGTCCTCGTGCTGCAGGTGATGCTGGTGCGCGTGCTGCTGGTGGTGGTGCTGCTCGCCCAGCACGTGCCTCCAGCGGCCGTACAGGAAGCTGTGCAGGATGTCCGACGTGATGATGTCCGCCAGAGACAGCGGCTGCTGCGGCTTGAAGGCCGGCTTCAGGCCCAGCGAGGAGCCGGGCAGCACGGAGCCCATAGCGGGCCGGAGGGAGCCGGAGGGCGGCGGAGGGAGCCGGGGGGAGCCGGGGGGAGCCGGGGTCAGCGGGCCGGAGGAGGGGAAGTCTTCCAGGGGGACAAAAGTCCAAAACCCAAAAGCTCAAAATGTCTCTGCGAGGAAGATGAAGATGAAGAGTCCACCGGTTGGTTTTAACCGTTAAACGGTATTTAATGTGTGTGTGTGTG